TTCCGTTTTTTCCTACGCATCTCTAACGAGCCCCTCTTTCTAATGGTGTCAGCTTCGCCAAAATATTCTTGAAAACTTGTTCTCCCAGGATCTCCAAACTACACACCAAAAATGAAAAGAGAACAAAAAAAGACCGGAAAATAAACAGAAAACACCGCAACACTCAAATGAACGCAAAAAACATAATAGATGACAAAAAGATCCTAAAACCACCTAAACGACTCAATACGGGGGAAAAAGAATGGGAAAAAGACAACAAAAAATGTAACAAAAATGGGACAAACAGATTTCCTTAGAGAAATAAATCTTTGAGTATCAAGGTTATGTGCTGGAACATATTTATGAACAATTAAACCATCATCAACCAAATTTCTAGTATAGTGGCAACGCATGCTAGTACACTTAAGGGAATGTTGAACAGAATATTTGGAAACATTAGCCGCACAAGTATGGTCAGAGAAAAGGTCAATGGCTTGTACCTCAGTTTCAAATTCAAGAAAAATGTGCTTCATCCACACCTTTTCTGAACAACAAGTTTCAGCCACAAGGTTCTGATCGGTGTAAGAACCTCCGTCAGAAGTACTCCATTGATCAACGTCATTCCCAACCCTATCAGCATCACAATCTCTAAGAATACCAGAATTCATATCACATGAGTCAAAAGTCATATAATCAATCAAATAGCAATTATCATGCGATCTAGACCCTGTAAGAACACAGTTATTATTCCTATCTGAAACCAAACATTCATTCAAGGTGAAACTCACAGAAAAGCCTTGATCACATAATTGACTCACACTCAACAAATTGACATTCAGGTTCTCAACCAACAAAACATTATCAAGTTTAGGAAGACCAGGCATGTTCAAACATCCAATTCCTACTACTTTATTACTAACACCATTACCAAAAGTGACAGAACCAGAACCATTATACACAGGTACAACATCAATCAAATTCGATTTAACACCCGTCATTTGTCTAGAACATCCACTATCAAAATACCAATCACGATTAGAAGCGGATTTTGAAGCA